TTGGAATTTGAGATTAAAATATATCATTTGGAAAAATCATTTTTGCTTTTCTTCATTGTATTTTATGAATTCAGACTTCTGAATTTTCAATGCAAAATTGACAAAAGTATTAGTTGAACTGTACAAACTCCTGAATATTTAAGCTTAATTTTTTTTTTTTCTTAGGCCATGCATGGTGGTGCACACCTGTAATTCTAGCACTCAGAGGCTGGGGCAGGAGGATTACCACAAGTTTGAAGCCAGTTTGGGCTACATACTAAGTTCAAGGCCATCTTGGGCTACATAGTGAGTTCAAGGTCAGCCTGAACTACATAGTAAGACCCTGTCTCAAAAAACAAAAAAAAATTTTTTATGTTTCAGATTTTGCATTGAACTTTGTATATGACTTCTAACCTCTTAAACTGGAATACAAATCATAGATATAACCAAGGTCTTTTGGTCTCAGGGGCTAAAAGAAATCTGCTTAATGTTTCTGCTCTTTTTTCTCTATCGCAAACAATATTCTCTCATGACCTTTTTTCTTATTTAGAGATCCTCAGTAGATAATGAAAACCTGGTTTCAGAGAGAGAGAGGGTGCTTTTAGAGGAGCTGGAAGCACTAAAGCAGCTGACTTTAGCTGGAAGAGAGAAGCTGTGTAGTGAGCTGCGCAGCAGCAGTACGCAAACACAGGTAGTATGGACTTCAGCCCACTTAGGAGCAATGGCTCAGCCATGAAGTAGGATTTGTTTGTCTTTGTTGGTGGTGTAAGATGTGTTTTTATAGCTGAGTTTAACATATTTGTGCCTGCTTTGATGTAAGACATGCAAGGTAGGTAGAGTCAAAATACTTTCTATTTTGATTAAGGTAATTCTAATCTGGCATTGATACAGTAACAACTATAGTTTCACCAAGGAACAACTTGTTGCATTATATAACATGTATTAGTTTGAACCCATTAAGATTCTTTCCTCTGTGCACAGAATGTTTTATCTCATTTTGATAATGCTAATCTAGATAAAATATAGTTAAATATTATTTCAGGCAGTATCTATTGTGTGCACAGAAGGTTCTGTTTCACTTCACACCAGTATGAAGAATGACATGCTCTTTCCAAGATGACAGGTTTCCTTTCTGTTTTGTCCTCTCTGCCTTTACACAAATTGAAACAGAATGGAAATGAAAACCAAGTGGAAGTTGAGGAACAGATGTTTAAGGAAAAGGAATTGGACAGTAAACCTGAAGATGTGCCTCTTGATATTCTGCCCAATGAGAGGTATATAAAATGTGTACTTTTTACAGTGCAAGTAAAATTGTTTCAAAGTAATAAACTATCTGTTCTTATTTTTATCTTGTACATATTTACTTTTTTAAATCATCATATTATTTATATGAAACATGTCCTTACTTGTATAGTATGTAAAGGAATATCAGCTTTTGATCATTAAATAGACAAATTCTTGAAAAGCTTTTTGTATATAATTTTTGATTAGATATTTATCACTGGACTCTAAATGTCTAGGTATTATTCAGGCATCAGATCTTTTTTTTTTGTTTTGGTACTGGGTATTGAACTCGGGTCTTTGCGCTTGCGCAGCAGGCGGCGAAACCGCTGAGCCAAATCCCTGGCCCCATCATATCCTTTTTGATTATTTTTACTCTTAATGCCATTTATTATCTTAAAAACAAGTTCTACTTATGAGCTTGACTTCTTCTCTTCTTCACTGTATAACATTCAGTGTAAGCCATTCCCTAGTTCGTTTATGGTGAGGAAAAAATTTCTATTCATGTTTAGCTTTTTTCATATATTTATATAATAGGTGAGAATTTTTAATCCATCTTCCAGTTTTAGGGAGAAATAAATCACCCGTTGTTAACAAAACTTTTCCTTCCATAGGTTTTTGTAGAGGTTAATATAAAAATGTAAATACTATACTGTATGAAAATAGCTATCCCACATTCATATTAAGGCCTTTAAGCACAATGTTTTAAAATTTATTTTATTCAAATAAAAATTTCTTTAGTTTTAAATTAAAACTAATATCTACTAACTTAATTTCCTCCTTTTCCAATTTCTGTACTGTCCACCCCTTTGTGTCCTCCTAACCACCTTCCTCAGCTTGCATGGAGGGATTTGGCCCCTAAGATTTTGGCTTCCCCATTGGATCATCAGTATGGAACGCAGTCAGTATGGAACTCAAACAAGAAAGACAGTGTATGAAAATTAGAGTTACCATGGCAATATAAAATAAACACTGTTTATTTTATATTATTTATCACTAATTTATATATTTTACAAATTATAGTGTTTATAGGAATTTTTATAGTGAATGCTGATAAAAATGAGTATTCATCTTTTTTGCCATTATATTAATTTTAATCATTTAAGTAGAAATATTTTCACATTACCCTCCTCCTGGGATTTGGGGCTTGATTAAAATCTTACTAATAGTTAAGGATATAAAACCTTTTACTTGTTAAATTATTTCAAATTTTGTTCTGAGTGTACTTGCTTATACAAGCAGAAAACTTGATCTAGGCACAAAAATAGAACTGTCTCTTTCACTTGACATATATTAAAACTCCATTTATTACCTTGTCTTAAAATAGATGTGCCATGTGTCTGTGAAACAGATACGGTTTAACCTGTTATGGTAGTCTCCTACAGTGTGACATGTAACTGAGGATGAAAGCTTTGTTAAGCCTAGAGACTTTTACTATGAAAATTTCTTTATCATGTCTACATATATCAAGTATAAAATTTGCCACTGTAGTACCTCCATTTAAAAAAGCTGTTAGGATGAGTGAGTTGTTTACTTATTCAGGGACTTAATCAGGCAATCTCCCCCCCCCCTCAGTTTGGGGGATCAAACTCAGGACCTTGGACTTGCAAGGCAGGTGCGGTGCCACTGAGCTAAATCCCCGGCCCCACTTAACTTTTTAAAAAGAGACACTGTCATTTCCAATTAGGTGAAAATAGATTTTTTTCTTGTGGCTTATATGAGTGTTGCATGTATAACTAGAGGTATTTTTATCTCTGAAACTGATATAATAGAAATGGTCTGTGATACTCTCCCTGGTGTTGGCAGACTGAAATTTCACTATAGATAATTTTTAAAACAGGTCTCTGTTACTCTTTGTAATTTTAACACCCAGTTTACTCCCATTAAATTGTAGAAATACTACCACTTTTTTTCTAGTGGGATTTAAAAATTATATTTTAAAATGTTATTTGGCACATAAAAAGATGAAATGTAAGATATGTGTGAATAACTGTGAATAGTATTACAAGCTCAATAACTTAACATGCTTGGGTATTATACTTTCTAAAACTTAAATTTTGTCTCATTAAAAGTTTCTTCTAATTTAGTTACTAACTTAGAAGTTTAATTATTTGATTTATTTCAGGTCAATAAAACATTTTTTAATGTTAGTCATTTTTACAAGGTCAGTAAAACATTTTAATGTTATAATTAATATGATTAAAATTTTTAGACAAAAATCATTTTATTATATACTTAAAAATAAATCAGAAACAAGTGCATCATTGAAGGTGCTATTGCATAATACCATATAGTATTTTTCCAGTCACATACAGTATTTATAGTACATTTTTATGAGATATTAATGAAGTGTTTACTTTTAAAAGATCAAACATTTTAATGATTCTTTGTCTGTACAGGTATGCACTCCAGAAAGCTAATAACAGACTCTTGAAGATCCTCTTAGAAGTTGTAAAGACAACAGCAGCTGTGGAAGAAACAATTGGCCGCCATGTCCTTGGGATTCTAGATGGATCTTATAAAGGCCAGTCATGTAGCAACCTAGTTTGGAGGTCAGAAGCAGAGTCATCTGTAAAGTCATGTGTCCAAGAGGAATATACAAGAGGTACTAGTTTCATATGATGTTTAAATAGTCATCATCTTCAAATCTTGTTATGTTAAGGCACTCTTCTATGTGTGGAATATATGGAAGAGAGAATAGTCAAGTATATATTTTCTAGCAGATGGACTTCCAAACACAAATACATTACAGTCACTCTTCAAAGCACCAATATTATATAGCGTTTGCGAGGGAGTGCTTTAGGACTGTCATCATACATACCCAGGTTTGCTGCTGTTCCTACATAAACCGGAAGGCCATTTCATTTCTCCACTTAGAAATATTGTACATTGCTACTCAGGACTCCTATGGCCACCTTATAAAATAAAGAGTTTTTAGGAATCCAGCACCATTGCTTCTCGGCCTTTTGGCTAAGATCAAGTGTAGGAATCCAGCACCAGTCTCACATACCTATTGGAATGGTTAAAAGAAAGCCCTTTTAAAACCCAAGGCTTGGTCTTTTCCTTAAGACTATCCTCTGTGAAATCATTTCTTCCTTTTAGAAAAGTAGTTTGAAATATGACAATATGTGAGGTTGCAGACAGTAGGTCCTGATAAAACGTTGCCATCTTCCTAATTCTGTCTTCTTTCTGTAGCTGAGTGGGCCAAGGTCTCTAGTTTCTTTGCTGACCTGCAGTATCTATTCATTTTTCATTTCTTTATTCCTTGCTGGAGAAGAAATCTATGAAGAAAAAAATTTTGTCATATCCGGAAAGACAGGGGCTTCTTGAAGTAGAAAATGAAACCTATGTTTCACTCTCATTCCTCACCTTAACTCTTCTCCCCAGGTAGAGACACATCTTTGGAAATATTCTTACAATTTTTTTTTCTTGAATTCTTTTATTGGTACATTTTAGGTATATAATGCACTTACATTTATCATTGGGTACTTGTACCTGTACATGATGTATCTTGGTTCTTATTTTTTTCCCCATTACCCATGCGCCCTTCACCCCCTCCACCCCTCTCTATTTACATAGACTTCATTTCCATTTTTTTTTCTTTTCTCATGATTTTTGCTTTCTCTTCTTTCCTTTCTCCTTCCCCTCCCACCACCCCTAGCCCTTTGGACCTTTTTTTCCTATTTCAAATTATCAATTATTCATTTTAATCATTTTAACCCTTATTTACACTTTCAGTTTCTCACACTACACAAACTATTCGGTATTTACACATGTGTGTCCTATCTATTTCCCTGAAGAGTATGGCCTCAATATGCATCCATTCAGCTATAAATGTCTCTAGTTTCTCATTCTTTATGGTTGAGTAGTACTCCATTTTATAAAAAAAACCACATCGTCTTTATCCAGTCTCCAGTTGATGGGGACTTGGGCTGTTTCAAAGGTTTAGCTGTTACGAACTCTGCCACTATAAACATGGGTGCACATATATCACTGTGGTATGATTCTTTTGATTCTTTTGGGAAGATCCCCAGCAGGGGAATAGCTGAGTCAAATGGGACCTCTAGCCCTAGTTCTTTGAGGTATCTCCATACTGATTTCCACAGTGGTTGCACCAGTCTGCACTCCTATCAACAATGGAGAAGGGTTCCTTTCTCCCCACACACCTGCCAGCGTTTGTTATTCATTGATTTCTTGATAGCAGCCATTCTTTCTGGGGTGAGGTGGAATCTCTGTTGTTTTCATCTGCATCTCTCAAATGAACAGTGATGTTGAACATTTTTTCATGTGTTTATTTGCTGTTTTTACTAATTTGTCTGTGAAATGTCTGTTCATTTCAGATGCACATTTTTGAATTGGGTCTTTGAATTTGGGGGGTGTGTAATTTTTAAAATTTCTTTATATATTCTAGATAGTAGTCCTTTATCTAAGTAGAGCTGCTAAAAATATTTTCCCATATTGTAGGTTGTCTCTTAGTTCTGTTGGAGATTTCTCTTGCAGTACAGAAGCTTTTTATTTACTTTATTTTTGTGTGTGTGTGCTGTAATTTATTTATTTGTTAAATTCTTTTATTGGTACATTGTAGGTATACAACACAATTACATTTCTCATTGGGAATTGCACCTTTACATAATGCATCTTGGTTCTTATTTTTTCCCCATTCCTAGCCCTCCACGCCCTCCACCCTTCCCTATTT